AGCAGTAGCAGTAGCAGTAGCAGCGACAGAGGCAGTGTTGTAGTGGTAATAGCCGTCGCGTCGTAGTAGCAGAAAATAGTAGCAGTGACAGCAGCAGCAGGAGTAGTAGTAGTAGTAGTCGTCGTCGTCGTTATAGTAGCAGCAGCAGTGACAGAGGCAGTGATACTGGTAGTGCTAGTAGCCGTCGTCGTCGTAGCAACAGTAGTAGCAGGAGTAGTAGTAGTAGTAGTAGTAGTAGTAGTAGCAGCAGCAGCATCAGTAGCAGCAGTATTAGTACTAGTATTAGTATTAGTAGTAGTAGTAGTAGTAGAAGAAGAAGAAGTAGTAGTAGTGAGAGTGTAGCAGAAGTGTTCGTCGTCGCCCGTGCCATAAATGATTTTGACCGTGTCTTCGATTGATGACCTCATGACTTGACTCACGTGATCCAGCTTCAACAGACACAGCTGACACTGGCCCTGTATCGCTTCTCGCCTTTGTTGGGATGAAGCTGCTTTGTATGCGCACTTCCTTTTGTCGCCGGTGATCAATTGGGAGGCTGATCGTGGCTATCCGGAGGCATAGCCAGCGGAGGTTTCTGGCGAGAGGTCAGTAGTAGTCTAGTCGAGTGTGCATGTTCAGTTTCTGCACCACCGCTAGAGAAGAGGTGCCGTTGCTGTGGCAGTGGTCTGGTATCAGCTGCGGTACTAGTAGTAGTGGTAGCCACGGTGGCCGTGTGCTGTACTGGCAGCAGTCGGAGCAGCAGCAGTAATGCCGCCACAGGGCGAAGGGTCTTGGAGGTTGACGGTCAGGACAGCAAAGCTGGAATTTGTTCAATCGAGACGAGACGTTCGAATGAGGCTACCAAAAGCTCCGCAAGAAGAAAGAGCCACGACCCAAGCTTTCGTGATTGTCCAGCGGATCGTGAGTGTCCAGCGGAGAGATGCCTAGATTTCACTGCACGGAACGTAAAACCAGATCAATGTGCTAACTGCGGGGTGGGTGGCCAGTACTTGCGAACATGTCGTCACTTTTCGGCCTGCACGTTTCTGCTTGCTTCGGCTTTTCAGGCAGGAGAATGAAGTGGTATCTGCCACCTGCGACGTGGACTGCGACGTGGAAGAGCTGGGAGGACCCGAAACCGTCGCTAGCTGACCCCCTTTGGGCTACGAGTTCGTCCCTTCCTGGCCTGCTCGGCATTCCTGGCGAGGAGGAGCCCAGCAAATTGCCGAGCTTGGGGCAGAGGTCGGGCTGGAAACACCTACCGTGACAATGCTTCCCTCATGTTTGTCACAACGCCCCAGGTCCAAGATGTGAAGAGCCAGATGATCACGATGAGTCACCAGGTTCGAGATCTGCAGGTCTCCATGTCTCAGGTCCAGGACGGCAGGGAAATGAGTCGTAGTCCTATCACTGTTGTGCTGATGCATGCGTGTGCTCGAGCTTGTCGGAGGAATCCTTGGCCACCATTGCCGCCTTTATCCGAGAAAATCCGCCGCAGAAGGCGGGCGGTTTGAGACGCAATGCATTTGAAATGAGCTGAGTTGCGTAAAGGGGTTGCTTTGCGAGTTCATGCTGCAGGCCTTGCATTATCAGAGTGTCGCATGGGCCTAGCCTGAGTGGGAAAGTCAGCCCGAACGCCGACCGGCAGCTCTCTTGCGGATAGGAAGGACATGGCATCCCAGGCCCAAAGGCAGCTCAAACATGACATCATGTCACTTTACAACCCTGAAATCACTGGCACATCTGTTTGAAAAACCATAGACCTGGCAGGCTGCAAGGCCACCACCTTCGGCCCCTGGCTGGGAAGTCTCGCGCGTGTGAGTGCGACCGTCCAAGACGCGCACTCCAATTTTAACTCGAAGATACCCCTGCGGTACCTTGTCCATCGCATTTTTTGTTAATTTGGGGGTGCCTGAAAGGGCTGGCCGAAACGGCGTGTTTTGCAGATCTTGCACTTTATGGAAGAACGTGGTGTGCCAGCGTGTGCACATGTGCCAGGCTCGACAGGAGATCAGACTTGGTACTTCAATTTACCTACATGCCTTGGCTCTTAGAATCACACGCACTAAGCTTTTGAGAAGCTCAAGAAAGCGGCCAGCGGCCCGTCAACGAACTGCTTGATACCTGCTGTCGCAACCCGACAACATCTCTTCTAAGAACTTGGGCAACCTCATTGTCATTCAGTGGGCGGCCATTGCATTCACATATCAAGCGTTTACAACGAAACAGACTAGCTATCTGAGAACGGCGGCAAGTGGCAAGCTCAGGGCGCGGGGCGATGGTCATTGGCCTCAAACGGCTTTCGACGCATGCGGCATGGAGTGCATTGTTAGGAACCAACGTCGTATTTCTATTGGGTCTTGTGAATCCTGTCCAGCACTCCCATCCATGGTTACTCTTGTTTGACAACCCGGAATGTGGGTTGTGAAGCACCCGCGTTTTAACGGTTCGTTGAAGGAAGGCATAGCTGGAGATTCTCAGATTTTCTGAGATATTCTGAGATCTTATGAGATTCCTGAATTAAAGGAGGAGCTCTAGGACGAGAGCTGGGGACCTTGCCGATCCCCCTCTTCGGAGCTTTCTCGAACTCGTCGCACGGCTTAGCCGTGCCAGCAAGGATCAAGCATGTTCAAGTTGGCCCGACATCATGTCCCCCCTCATACTGCCAAGAACTTAGTACAGCCTGTTTTGGCACATTGCACATCTTAGCAAGCAAGGGCCTGCGAATGCTCCCGTGCATTCTCGATGAATGTTTGCCGTGACCTGCCACAAGCAGTTCCACGCCTGCACCTTTGCACCACCGCGAAGTGTGGGAGTCACAGTGGTATCTCTCTGTGTCTCTCCGTGGTGTCTTACCTAGGCCTAGGCATTTAATGCAAAGGTTCCAACAGACTCCCTAACGCGGCAGCGAGACAAAATTCAGCGAAGACGACAGATGTTGCAGAAGCAACACCACATGATACGCCTGGCCATCCAAAGACTTCCTGTTGCCTGGAGGACTCGCCGCATTGTCGTCGACTTGTGAGCCTCGGTGCTCATGGCTGGGATTTCTGGTGGGGGCCCTGGAGCCAGAGGGGAGCTCGGCGACTTAGCTCAATGTGCAATGACCGCCCCACGGAGGCTACAGCGGAGTTGATCTCACCGGAGCCTTGGTCGGCGTCGATGCTCAATGGCTTCGGTGACTCTGCTTCTCGCATTCCTTTGTAGGCAAACGCGCATAGCGAAATCGCTGTGTTCTGCGTCAAGGCTGACAGGTGACTGAGTAGGTCAGAGGGAGGGAGGGAGGGAGGGAGGGAGGGAGGGAGAAAGGAAAGCTACCAACGACTCGAGCCCTGACTGTTCGCCGATGTAGCCAAGCAACCTGTGCATTCTGAAAGCGGGACCACAGGAAGAACCTAATAGAAGTTTGGTTCGGGCCGGTGGCTTGCAATGGCATTAATGCTTCTGAACGCTTCGAGCCCTTTCGGCGTTTCCTTCGGAAGAAAACAGCCCCATGCGCAAATAAGGCAGTGATTCAATCTGCACGAATTGGTGGTGAATCGTTTGACCGCTCTTCTCCAGAAGCTGGCAGACAAGAAGAATCCCAAAATCGGGCGACCGTGCCCTGGTTCTACGCTCTGGTTGATTTGGCCTGCAAGGAGGAGAAGATTCAGAAACCTCTGTACGACTTCGCAGAGTCTGACTATGCGGCAATTTTCGAAAACATGAGTGAATCCAAGGTGCAGCGAGTGCCACATAAGCGAGTGATAGGGGTGAGCTGAGTCCGGTCGGTGTCGGCGTGGCGAAGGCGAAGTCCCCGTTTCCGCTGGATGTGGATGGCGTGGAGCTGACGGTTTCTTCTTCACGAGCTTGACAGCCGAAGCCACGCCTCCGAACACGTCCTGGTATTCAGCCAGGCTCGCCGGAAGTCAAAGCGGAAATCGTGCAGACAGCAAGGATCTTTGTAAGGCTTTGTCCGAAACGCCGTCCCATGCCGCGTACTTCCAATATGAGATTCTTTGTGAGGGTCGCGGTGGAGACTGTTTTTCGGGGGAGGAAGCAGATGCAGATAGGAACGTGTGCAGGGGCGGCCTGGCTGTGGAGCGGTGTGCGGTGTGCCGGCTCGGTTTCAAGGATGGTGTAAGCGATCGCTCTGGACGGGAGGCCAGCTCCATCCGACGGAGGCTGCATTTGCTGTCCCGTGATCTGCCGCAAGCTGGCCTTGAAGCCTGCCGAAGCCACCTCCAGGATGATGCCAAGGATGCGGTGGCTTGCACTGAAGCTGCACCGGCAAACTCAAAGGAAGCCGAGGCCGTCAAGTCCAAGTTCTTGGTGCCAAGGCCTCTGCCGGAGTCGGCAAGGCACCGGAAGTGGCTGGCAGGTTTGACTTTACTGCCTCCCGCAAGCTTCTAGATGCCTTGTTCCAGCGGCAGGACGGACGGTGGGACCAGTCTCACTGCCCAGAAACTGCGGTCCCTCTTGGATGCTGCTGGTGCAGCGTCGGCCCTTTTGCTGATTCGGCGATTCGCACATGAAATTCTGTCGAAGTCGTACTCGTTTTTTGATGGCTGCTTCCATGCTGTGTTTTAGGATGATGGGCTGTGCTGTTTCATGAGCGAATGTAGTTGGTGATGAGTTACTGGGTAGGCCAAAGTGGGCCCTTTGGGAGTTGCACTGGAGTATTTGGGGGCTTAGGTTTCGGGGGAGCTGTGAGCGTGGTCTGCTAAAGGACGCCAAGCCTCCTGGTGACTCCTAGTACGTGTGATCAGTTGCCAAGTTGCAGTGGAGCCTAAGCTGCCTTAGCGAGTGTGATGGAAATCGAAACTCCAAACCGACAGGCCCGAAGTATGCATAATCGAGAACGAAAAGCATTCAATCCAAAGGCATTCAATCCACGACCAAAGGCCGGCTTCTCTCCATGGCTGCGGACATCTGACCCCTGGGCATAACAGTGAGTGGTATTTCGAAGGCACTGAAAAAGGAATCTCATGGTACAGTAGGGTCGGGCCCTTGCCCTGTCGGCAGCCGAGAGCGGGAATCACAGAAGCACGGTGCCTCTTGCTATGTGGGAATGCGCTGGCGGCCTGGCGGCTCAATGTGCCCCCGGAGCTGGTCCTAGGATCATGGCTCTGAACCCTGCCGGGGAAAACCAGGCCGAGCAAGTATCAATAGCATTCAAACGAAATTCTCATCCGTGACCTGTGCCTCGGACCTCCATGCAATCTGAGAACAATTCCGCTCGAAGGCGGAAATCGATGCTTGTGCCCAAGCGAAAGCTGCAGGTGTCGACCTCAGGCGTATTTTTTTGGTTAGACAGTCTGGCATCTTCTGAGCTGCATCAATCAGCCTGCGGAATAAGGCAATGCCGCTTACGCCATCCTTGCATGTGCTGAAATCGGCTGGTTAACAGCAAGCCTAGGGCAGTGACTAACATAAAAATCCCCATGCTCGCCAGGCAAACGGCGAACTTGAAAGTGCTTGGGAACACTACGTCTGCCCAGCGAGCTTGTTTGCTACTATTGTCTGGTTTCAGCAGCTGCTTGAGAGCTTGAGGACACAACTTTGGCTCAAACTGCTGGCTCGCAAGTTATGGCGGTGGATTGCGATAGCACGGTTGAGGACACCATCCGAGAGACATCAGCAGAAGGACAGGCATTGCCGTCGGAACCGCCGGTCGACCCACGACCAAAGGCTCTGCAGTAGATTTTGACATGTACGATGTGTTTAGAAGACTGCCAAGTTCCTGTTTCTGTTTCTATTCAGCCGCGCAGCCAACACGAACCTCCAATGAAACGGAAGTTCTTTGCCGGTTCTCCACAGCCTTTTGCCAGTTGTACCGCCACGAGGCAGCAACGACAGCCGGTGGGCAAGCCGGCGAAACAGTCACAAGCGCTTGCAGACCGCAGACTGAGCAGGAGCCCGATTCCGTGCACTGAGATTCCCGACGCTTGGGCTCAGAAAGATGCGGTTTGGGCACGCCGCAACCGGGCGATCGATGCCCAAAAGCACCCATTGGGCCTGAGTGTCTATCTATCTGCTGGAGTGGATGCGGCAAACCTGTGAAGACATCTCGCTTGCAGAACATGCCTTCTGGAGTCGACCGACATCTCGGATACAAAGACGATGGGGCGTGAGATTCGCAGACCGTGCGATTGCCGCGTCTCATTATCTTTGCATCCGCCAGCCACCATGTACCGATGATGCAGAGTGACAAAGACGAAGCCGGAGACGTGACCTGCCGCACTGGTGCAGGTGGATAAGTGCAAGCAGACCAGGCAGCCTCGGAAGGGTGTCTTTCGCGGCCTTTCATAATATCCTTCAAGATCGCATCAGGACTTCCGCCACACAGTGTTTTATCGTGACAACGCCGTCGGTTTAAACGACTGTGCTACCTGCAACTGAAGCACCTTTCTTCTACAGCAAATGTGGCTGTCACGGTTGCTGTACAGCGGGATTCGTCAAGCATTGGCCAGCTTTGCAGTACAAAGACAACTAGCAGCAAATGGTAACACATTCCTGGCTTTATGTCGGGTTTTCGTCCTTTCGTGCATCAGAGCCGAAGGCTGTTCGGTGTGCATTGACGAAACATGCAGTGGACCGCATGAAATGCACAGGGTCAAGATGAGCGCACCATGGAGGTAACTATCACAAAGAGTTTTGAATATTCTGGCATGGAAACGTCCAATCCCAATTCAATGCCAAATGCAACGAGCATATGCAGATGAATGCGCTGGACCACTGGGCTGACTGCTCAGTTTCTGTCTGGCATGTTGCTGTTCTTGCTTGGCATGGTCAGCACTGCACTGCTTGAGAGCTTCGCATGGCTATGCTACTCGCCCCATGAAAGCAGCTCCGAACCTCTGCTTTCATGCCCTCAGTAAAGGAGTGTGGCAAGAGCAGGCTTTGTTGTCATCCAAGGACGCTGCCTTGTGCGCAGTCCCCAAAACGCATGAGACTGGTACGTCAGCAGCTTGGGAGAAGCTAGGGGGCTCCTGTGGCATCCGCTAAGGGGCTAACAGCTTCACGATTCTCTTGAGGCGTGTACGCTACAGCAAACATGGCTTCGGACTGGCGTGGCTCTCAAAGGTCGTTTGCGGCACGCTTATCCATTGGTGAACTGGCCGATTCCTGCAGTTTCCAGCTGGTGCTAAGGTTATGAGCGCATTTACAATGTTCGATGAGTATTTCTTGAAGGCCATATTAGACTGAGTCACTTTCAACCCAGTGAGAGATAAGATGAAGTGTTTTGCTGTGGCCGGTGTGTCCTTTCAGAGCCATTGCTGATCGCGAGCTTGCAAGCACAGATGTGGGCTTTAAGTCGTAAGCCTGGCCCGCCAGCGCAATGAGGACCTGGGAACTGATCAGGCAATCTGGGCCGTGGCGTCAGATATGGCGACTTTTTTAACATCTGGGCTCGTCTGCGCTTTGCCTAGCTTAGGCCGGGGAACCCGGTGGCGAGTTAAAGCGCACCTTGGTTTCAATAGCGGCAGTATTTGTCTACAACGGCGGGCACCGCACCGATCTGTGTCACGGTGATTTGCCGAGCCTAGGCTTCGCAGCTGAGGGCTCAGAAATCCATAGTCTGGACGTGAGTTGGGATCCGTCGCCGGGAGGCCAATGAACTGCGACCGGTGGGCCAGGCCCTCAGGCTCTCAGGCTCCTAACTCCTCGACTTGCCCTGGCCTTGCTTGTTGCCAGCCGAGGAGACGAGCTGTTTGACCTTCGTTTCACGATAGCCAGATGCTGAGTGATTCCATCTGCTGAGGGCAACAGTCATGCTGGTCAGAGCATATCATATCAGTGTAGAAGGTGCGCAGCTTTTGTCCTTGATGGCAGAATCGCTGCAGCTGTTAGGTATTCACTTTGTTGGAAGCGACGCTGTTCAAAGTCTTGCTAGGCGCAGAACCTTGCAGCAGTTTGCCTCAAGCGCAGTTTGTACAAGGAGGCTGGCGTCCAAGCTTCGTGCCTTCACTCTCGAAGGATGGTGTCGTATCGAGGCCATTGAGTGGGCAGATGCCGCACTCTCCATGGATGGGAAGGCACCGAAGGCAAGAACCTCAATGGCCTAAACGTCGAGATGCACCGTCGCTTTGGGAGATAAGGCAACTACTTGAGGCTGCATGACAGCGACGTGATTTCGGTTTACAGCTCACGTGCGCAAAGGCCCTGATGCGTCTGGGTGCGGCTCTGCTACGATCAGGCGATATTTTGGTCTCCTGAGTTCGAGCTATCAGTTGGCGGATCTTTAAGTTTGCCAGCTGTGCACACTTGCAGTCGCTTGCACCTCTGAGCCGTTGGTTTGGGGACCTGAGCGGTCGACCAGCCTAAAGCAGCTGCCGGAATAATTGCTGCAGAACCCAACTAACAAATTTTCTGCTAGACCGGAGTGGTGAGATGATGTGGGAGGGCATGACCTAGAGATGCTTCAGAGACGTTCTGACCGGCGACATGCCTGCTATTGTCTCCTAGGACGCGGCGGCCTCCAAGAGCAGGTGGTTTAGCCGAGTCTAGCCTGCTCCTTTCTTCAGGCAAGCCAGGTCCGGCGTCGGATCGCCTGGCAGCAGCACAGAAAGCCATGTCTCAAGCTTGGATTGTATTGGCCACAAGAAGATATGAGAAGCATTCAGTGGGCCTGGTCCAGTAGCGAACCAGAATGTCTTGTGGAGATCATGTTGAAGCCTCACAGGCGTGTCCCGAAATCTTCGAGACCGTGCCAGACAGTGCACGGTTGGTAGGGTTGTTTTGATTCGTACCTCGATGTCGACGCAGTGCTTCAGCAGACACGGCATTTAGCACGGAAACCTTGGTTGCGTTTGGTCCGGCGGCGGCCAGTCTTTGCTCCAGCGCATTCAATCCGAAGGGGTGCTGGGGCCAGGACAGGTGCTATCTGGTGAACAACTTGCAGAATCTTAGAGGGCCGGTTGTAGCAGCTTCGTAGCAACGGCAACGGCGAGCTTGCGGGGAGCCTGCGAAGCTTCTTCTCAGCCGAGGCCGAATGACCCCGAGGTGCGGAAACTGCTGCGCGAGGCAGAGCTAAAGCGCTCGCCAACATGGGCTTCGGCTTCAGCATACTGCAGCACATTGCGGATGACGCGCGAAGGGCTAGAGTCCACCGAAACTGCGCCATGCTAGGGCAGAGGTGTTTGTAAGCTCATCTTTCAGCCGTGGTTGCGACTTTGTCGCAGTCCAAACACGACAACAAGCAAGGTTTGTGCCAACGGGTGCTGTGGTCCCTGGGGCCTCGTGTCGCGGCCTCGTGATTTTCGTTAGCTACTTGTAGCACGTTTTTCCTAGAAGCCCACCCGATCGTGACAGGTGCGGAGGTACGATCACAGAGACCATGCCTGGTGCAGCCGGGGTTTCAGTCACAGAGATGCATCGTAATAGGATGATGAGGCACTGGCACGGGTGTGCCTGAGCAGTTGGTTTCTGCGGAGGCAGCAGAACACACTGAGATTCAGATGTGGCTGTTTCGCCTGTGGTAAAGCCTTCGAGGTGCAACCGCGTCTAAAGGAAAATAGCAACCTCGCCGATGTGATGGAGGAGGCTGTGCGCAAGAGCTGAATTTATAATTGGACTGTCGGGGGGCTAAGGCTTTCACGGGCAACCCCCCTTCTCTACATTGGACTTCAGTTGAAGGATTTTATATGGGGAGTCTGCAAGGCCAAGGTGGAATCTATCTGCATCTTTTGCCCGCTGATGGATGCTACTCCGGAGAAGCAGACCGGCCAACATTCCACTTTCGGTCCTCAGGATGAGAAGATGAAGGAGACGAACATACCCGACCAAAGCGCAGCTCGGGTGCAGAAGCAACTCCCAGAACTTGCACGTATGCAGTCATGCTAAGAATGCCAACAGTGTTTCTCAAAGCACAGCCCAGGATGCATGCTCGAGTTGTGCAGACAGCTGGGCCCTCAGGATCTCTCAGGTGTACACAAACCTGGTTGCGTGAGTGCGTCTTGGGCACTATACTATATGAAAGTTAGCTGGTTAGCTATGCTTTAGTATCTGTGCACCAGAGATACATAGACTGACATCTCCGAATGTTTTTGCTCCTCGTACATGCCATTATGTTCTCAGCCGATTCCGAGTCTGCTCATGACAGAACTCGACGATGTTGAAAAACACTTCGTTTTGAAGCCACTAAACTCTTGCCAGATGCTGCCGTTGTTTGTTCAGTGTTTCTTTGTTGAATTCACCTGGTAAACTCCGGTTTATTCCCACCACAAGCTCAGCATCTTCGCTGTAAATGGCAATCCGATTCATGGCTTGTTCAATGCTAGCGCGTGCGACATCACGCTACATTGCTTCGATTACAGCGCTCTTGGCTTCCTGTGAATCTTTTCATCATCTCAATCAGCTCATGCTAGCTTCCAACGAAGCTCCTAACTGTTTACGGGTAGAAAATTGGTGCTCGCTGCTTCGGACACCAGAGTCAACTTCGCATTGAACTGATGCAAACTTCGCTGATGCCTCACTGAGTTGACCTTGAGCTCTCTACTCGTACTAGTAGCCCCATTAGACTCCGATCACTGGTTAACATGTGTCCACCTTTCTGTACATGCTTCACATGCCGATGTTGAGAGCGCGTGTCGCCACGGCTTGTGCTTCCAACATGCATTATTCCTGGAAATCTGAGCTCTCCCGGTGGGTTTTTGCAAGGCTCCTCCGAGGAAGTCCCGGGACCGCAGGACGGCCAACTTCCTTGACAGTCCGGTGTTGCAAGCAAAAAAGCACGCAATCTTGTCCAAAAGCCCAACTTTGATAGATTTGGACAATTCGTTACATTTTTGACGGGTGTCCCCTGCAGTAGCAGCACTTGAGAGGAAGCAGCAGCGCAGTGCAAGCTTGGCGCAGCGACCAATCTGCAGGCCGGTTCATAATGTGACAACATCGATTATGTCAAGTCGTGAAGCTGGAGCGTGCTTCTCAGGATGCAGTTGCGAAGAACGACGGTGCTGAAGAGGCAGCTCGGAGTGGGTCTGCCGAGAAGGGTTGGAAATGCGCTGACTTCGAGCGATGAAGGCGGGGTACCAAACTCCTTCGAAGGAACGGGTTTCACCGGTGCAATGCAGACAGCTCGGGCCCCAGAAGCAAAGAGCCCGCCACTCGAAGCATCCACCGGCACGATATCAAGGTTGGGGGCGGCACTCGCAGCCCTTGCTGCAGCGAGATGCTCAGTCGGTAAACGGATGTGTGACGCACCCCGGTGCCATCATGCACATGAACCGAATCCTTGATTGAGAGGCTACTCTCAAGTGCCAGCATGTAAGCTCCCCCAGGCTGCTTTTGTGGCATGGAGGCATCGCAACGTCTTCAGCTTTTGCTGGAAAGCTCCCCGATATGCTTGATGGGGTCAACAGACCGCGAGTCGGGTCTGACACGAGCCACTGTTGCAGGCATCATGCTGAGTAGCCACGACGGCACTCTCTCCATCTGAAGGCTAGCAACATGGTATGGAGCCCTAAGTTCCGGATCATGCGTTGTTGCTTCCTGAAGTTTCACCCTGAAAGACGACTCCTGCAGCCAGCGACGATCGCGCAGCAAAAGATTCCTGGTTGGGCCTCTACAGCATGCGAGACTTCTGGAAGGTTTGCAGAGGTTCCTCCTGCCTGCATATTCCGCTTCTCGAGGCATAGTTTCCAGATGCTTCCAGTGAACCAGTCTTGGCCATGTAGGGCTGGGCAAAAACCATCTCCGCAGTGTATTGTAGTCGACACGCCAGAATATCTCTCGACGGCAGCTGGAATTCCCGACATCATGGCGCCCAGCCTTGCCTCTGCTGGCGCAGCGGCCTTTGTACTTCTGGGCTTTACTCTCTACCAAAGTTTTCTGAGCCGGATCCTCAACCAGCTTGGGACAGGCCAGACGAATCTGAAAGAAGCTGCCAATTTGTGCTGGCGGGTCCTGCTAAGGCACTGGCATTGTCTACGGGTGGCCATCGCTCCTTTCACTTCTGACCAGCGAGAATGTGTATAGACACCGCTGTGATAATTATGCAGAGAGTTGTCCTGAGCGCACTCTGGCCTTCAACCTTGTTTTTAGCATCGGTGCAATGGTGAACGTCTCTGGTGGCGTGGCCTGCGGATTCCTTGTCGACTCCATCGGACCACGCAAGGCTGCGCAAGTGATCCATACACATCGCACAAGACAAGCCTGCATGACTTATGACATTTGGCACATGATGCCTCTTCGCTATTGCACACGTACGGCATCGTGGTGCGTCCATGACACCATGCACATAAAGATAAATCTGGGGCATGGTACAGCGAAGTCGGCATGATGTACTACGACCGACTGCAGTTTTATGCGGCAAAGGTAAAGCAGATCTTGCGACAAACTATCCCAGTTCTTTCAAGCATGCAAAGCTCGTGGCGAACGCTTGCCAAAAGAGGATGTGCTTTTTTCTGGAACAACCGCAGCTCACCGTTGCCATCTTCGAGTTGACTGCTTTTAGGCAGCTGGCTTTGGCTTACCGTGCATGCAGTTCATACCTCGTGAAGCTGCTGCCTGAGTTTTACAAACCAGAATGGGCATAGCCGGAAGGCTCGTGTCATTGAACACCCTGTCGACGGACCGATCGATGGTTACTCACGAAGCAACGATTTCCAAACCCCGCGCAACCTGTTCAGACGCCAAGGGGCGGTTACACGTCCAGGATAAGCCGGCTAATTGCCGAATGGCGCACTTGCTAAGCGTAGCTTTCCCTATTGAAGAGAGGCTAAAAGGCTATGCTAATGCAGTTGTGTTCACAGGCTTCGCAGTGATAGAGTGGAAAGTCTTTACAGCACAGATGTCTTGATGTCTCAATCTACCTCTATGTGTGCATCTACGCATGTGTATGTGACTTCGGCAGGGCATCCTCACGGGCTTGATCTTGATCATCACGGGGAGCCTCTGTTTGGGCTTGGCAGACGTAGAGAGCGACTGGGCCTGGCCCGCCGCCTACGTCTTCTACGGACTTGGGGGCTGCTGCGTCCATCTCTCCAGCATCTCGGAAAATGCTAGTGCTCGACAGTGGAAGTATGAAATTGACGTTCTCCTGAGGCTTCTCTTTGGGCAACGCTTTTGGAAAGGCCAAGGGCGTGGTCATTTCCTGCTTTGTGGCAATGTTTTCGATCTCAGCGCTGGCGTTTCAAGGCCGTGGCCATCTTAAGGTTGAGCCGCAGTTGGACCCCTGAAGGCCTTAACGTGACGTGAAGACGTGTTTGAGGACCTATGAATCGAGAACGAAGGAGAGGTATCAAGGTCACAGCCGCAAGGATGTGCCCAGACTACTAACGTGCAACATGCTGCAACAAGGGGGGATGCCGGGAGCGAACTAGGAAGCTAGTTTTGCTGTGCTTGGGGAGCGTCTGGCTTATTCGAGCTAACAAGCCAAATGCTGTTGCAGTCTTCGACCTGGCCTACCGAGCTGGGCTGACACTTCGAGTCGTATCCTTGATCCATGTCAGCCTCGAGGCTCTCAACATGCGCCTTGGTCCTGTGGAGACCTTGGGGACTTGGGGATGCAGATTCAGACTTGGCTTACTGGTTCTCCAATTTCGAAGCCTAGGAAGGCCACCCATGTCTTGCCCAACCCTGCCGACAAGGTGCTTTTCTGGATGGCTGTGGCCAGATTCAGCACTGAAACCAGGCCTCTCGCCTTGTTGCCTTGCCTGCTGTGCACGAAGACAGCAGGGACAGCTTTATGCCCGAGTGCCACCGGAAGGTATCATGAGTCATGTTGCCAAGCTCGGCCGAGGTAGAGAGATCCCGTAGTGACGAGTGAACTCGCCTTGACTCGGCTACTGCAAGTGTAGTCTCGGCACGAGGCTTCGGGTTCAAGGCTCAAGGTGTTAATTCTGCTGTAGAGACACATTTTCCAGAATACGATGAACTGCAACTATAGCACATGCCAATACATGCCATGTGTGTACATATGACGGTTCATTCGAAGACCAAAGACGGAAGGAACGCGATTGATCTTCGAGCGATGCCGGATCAAGTCCAGCGGGGGCATGGAGCACCTCGGATTACAGGAGGTGCTTGCAGGCGGTGAAGCAGCTTCTGTTTGAATGGCACCCCGTTTGCTGCCATTTTGGATACTCCAGTGCAGGGACACCGTTGTTTAAATAGCTTGAGAGGATCCGGCAGCTCTGCGGAGTCCCTCAACAATCAGGCCCCAGTCATCGCCGGCTTAAATGACTCATGCCGCACCGCCACACGCACGCGCACGCACAGACACACACGCACACACAGCCTGCAGCCATCAAAACCCCAAGACCGTGCTTTTTCGATCGACCTAAGGCAGGGAATCGCCACCAAAAGTCTTACTGCTCGGGAGCGCTGCGTCTCAGCGCTGGGCATCGATTCTTGACTGCAGCTGCTGCACTGGCATCGGGCATGTAAGGGTGTGGCAGCTTCACAAAACGCTGAAAAGAAGGCGAGGACCTACAAGTTTGTAGGGTTCCTCACTTTCCACTTCACCCAGCTCGGTCTGAATCGATGTTTGATGGGGTGGATGGCGGCTGAGCTACGTTGGAAGCACGAGGAGCTGCTCGGTGCTTCGAGACCTGGGCTCGACATCGATCATGAGCTGGCCATGTTCAATTTTTTGCAAGCAGCGGCTGGTTTCATTTCTATCCCTGCCTTTGGATGGCTGGTGGCACGATTCGGGCACCGGCGTGCTCCTTTCTGTGCTACAGCCGGCCTTGCCGTTCTCTTTCTCGCTGTCCGGCCCTTCAGCGAACCGCCGCTCAGATCGACAATTCCAGGCAAATTTTTGTGGTGGAAACAGTAGAAGCCCGCGACGAAGAAGTTGAGGTGGCTCTTGCCAGTCCTTTACATTGTGTCGGCTTGCCACCGTCAGCTGTTCTTCTCAACGTTCTTCACGTTCATGATTTCCGATCCGCGGCACGACTTGCGTTCCTAGAGAGGGTTAACCCACCAGTACACACTCGGATTTCGAATGGCTCAGGAATATCCGGCCGAGTTGTTTGCGACACTGGCTGGAATGGCTTCTACGACGCATCAAATAACATAGGATGCAAAGAGATTTCGATCTGGCGTCAACCCAGGCGAATATTCTGGCTGGCCTAGTGTCCTTCCTGCAGAATCCACTCTTGGAGTTTGTCTTGCGGGACATGGATGGGGACTTCTTGCTTCCGCTGCTGGCACAGCTAGGACTCGAAAGAGCCGTCAGGGGGCTGTTCAAGCTGCTGACGTTGTGCACCGGATAGACGTTTGGTGGAACCTCCCTGTGAGGAATCGCTGCCATCGTGTTCGTTTGTTCCCTGGTCGCCTGGTTCTACGACAAGCCCGTGCTTCCGTGGCCGGGCAGATCGTAGCATGTTCTTCACCCGGCGATGATCCGCTTCATGTAGAGAGAAGCTGAGGCCACCGGCAGCCCTCGACACAGAGACTGAGCCGGGACAAACTAGCCCACAATCTGCCAAGCTGAGCCCACAACATGCGTCGGAGGTAGATGAGGCTGCAGAATCAAAGCTGCAACTCTGACGCCCCGTGACGAAGCATTCTGTGCGAAGGCAAGATGTTCAACTGGCCGTTCTTGGCCTCTGCCGAGCTGTTACATAGACTTGCCACTTGCGCCTCCTGTTTGGGGAGACTCGAATTCAAAGCGACTTCCGAAGTGCTGGTCATGCAAAACGAATCAGCTGCTATAGCCCACGTAGTTGACAGTCTTTTCATTCCAGCTCCGTTCCCCCAACTAGAAAGGAAGCTTTTCATAGCTTTTCATTCTCGTTGCGCAAGCTGGACTCAATTAGGCAGTTGTTAGACACTAGTCAGAAATGCTTCGCACGAGTTGCTAGAGCTGCGTAACGCAGATTTCCTCCCACTCCAGAACATCCGCCAGGGACACTTGCGGACACTGTCACCCAGCTGTGATGTTCAGTCGCACGACCTCGAACTTCTGATGTGCTCCTTGCTGCAATGCTGGACTCATTGATTAGATGCAGCTGGCAAGGTCCTGCGGCAACTCCCTTTGGCAGCCCGTGCTGTTACACTCCTGACACACAAACACCGAGTGCAGCACCGCAAAGCAGCTCCTAGCATTTCCACAGTGCTTGTTGGCAGTAGTGATATGCTTTCTTCAGGTCCTGCCCACGACAGGCCTGTTCCCATAGTACAGCCGAGTGGGCCGAGTGCACATGGAGCGGTAATGGAGCCGGAGTCGGTCCAGAATGCTACATCGAAGTACCTGAAGCGGCGCCTGCCGACTGCGAATGCGGAGCCCTCGAAAGTCGCTGAGCCATTAGTTGAAACGAGACACGAGGCTCAAGGAGGTCGCGCCAACAGAGCAACATCATACGCTGACAGGCGGCTGCCAGCAGTGACCTCTTGCCTCTCTGGGAGCTCGATGCCTCACAGTGAAGCACCGACAGATCAGGAGAAGGAATGCCCGGCACAACGCAGAGAGCCATACCTTCTCCGCCGGCGTCAGATTGACTTCACTTGGGTCGACCTGGACGGGGTAGCTGGCCATCAGCAGCCTCAAGCTTTGGGCACGCGCTTGTCAATACACGGCCGAGGAAGCCACAGCTTTCGAACTGCACAGGACATGCTAAATGTTGGTCCCCTCGCCTTCGGTGACTCAACTGACCAGGACTATGTGACTTCTTGCGACAGGCAGGGAGGTGGACCTGAGCATTTGGAGCCAGTGCTGTTGAATATCTACGACCTGGGAGACAGCAAAGCCATCCAACGTTTGAATGTACTCCTGAAACCCATGGGTTCTGGTGCATACCACGCGGCCGTACAAGTTTACGGACAGGAATGGAGCTTCGGAGGCTTGAGCATTGACGATCCGATTGAAGAGGGGTTCGAAACTGGGATATGGAGTTGCCGGCCGCAGGGTTGCAGGCAGCACGCTTACCGAGAAAGCGTTGCAATGGGGCACACTAGCCATTCTCATGTGCAGATTCTCGAAATTATTCGTGGCATGATGGACGAATGGCCCATGAATAGCTACCAGATTCTGCGGCGAAACTGCTGCCATTTTTGCGACGCTTTCTGTCAACTCATCGGCGTGGGGCCTTTGCCGGCCTGGGTTCTCAACCTTGCTGGCGTCGGTGCCTCGCTTGAGAGCATGCAGAGCTCCACCTTTCACGCCGCCGCTTCTGCAGCAAGTGTGGTGAGGCATTTCGCGTTGCGGAACAAGAAAGTACCAGCCTAATCTTCCTTCAGCCACACTCAGACCAAGATCCGATCCGGCTGGGGATTTGATCGACTCGGCGAGCCGTCATGTCCACGAGCTGGTCTCATCTGCTTGATGTACGAATCTACCTTGTTCCCTGTCTCCAAAACCTCTTGAAGCCCTCAAGTTGGGGTTTGATGGTGAAGCATTCAGAGGAACGGCACTAAATCTCCACATGACCAGTGGCCGAGGGGATGCGATCGGAGACGATTGAACCATTAACCGATTGTATGACAAGTTACCACTGCCAACACGCCTAACAAAGCCTGAAGTTGGCGTAGTTGACAACAACCGACTTCAACGAAACGGTCTGGACATGAGCTCGATGAATAAATTCCTTGTTTACGATTGTGCTTAGCGACAGGGTCGATGGAAGTTTTGCGCAGGTTGATGCGGATGACCAGTGTGCGACAGCTACAGATGCGCTTAAGTTACATCAGTTGGCTACTAGGTTTTGATCTTACTGCACGGCGCATGCAGATTTTTGATTGTCATACCTGTGACCCATAAATGTGTGTGTGTGTGTGTGTTGTCTTGCCGCAAACTTGGGCTGGAAGCAATGTTGTTGCCGTGCTCATCCCGCACCAAACAAATTGATTCAAGCGACTGGTTATTGGGCAAGTTGCATAAAAGCCTTGACCATGTATGAAGGATAAGTAAATTTGCCGAGCACATGGATGCAGCAGACGACATCAATTCCGCCAAGAAGAAACAGAAGAAAAAGTCTTTCCGGAAGAAAGCTGCGGCCAAGTCAAGCGCAGACGGGTTGGAGGAAACAGCTAGCCCACCGCCTGTCTGGGCTTCAGATGACACTTCTGCGGATGAAGACTCCGCTGAATCAGCAGCCCACAGCCGAGTGGCTTCTGAGCGCAGCGCTGAAGAACAGGCACGAGAGAAACACCGAGAATCGCAAATGTTTACCGGCATCGCCTGCCCCAAAGTTTCAGAAGAGCTGGAGGACGATGGAGCAGATGACATCCCGGTAGCCCAGGCAAGGACAAAGCGACAGCAAACTACATGGCCCCCGAATTTGGATGGCAAGACCGCGTTCTTCCAACTCAAGGACTGGGATGACCAGGTTTTGTCTTGCAGGACTTGGGTGTGAGATCTTAGTTCCCCGCAGGAACATGAGCTGCCCGGCGACGGCATTGCTTCCATGCACTTCAACCGAGGCTTCAACTTTAAACCTTTCATTTTCTTGCCATCCGTATTGCTGGCGGCCATGTCCGATTCGCCGGTGCTGACGTACGAGACGGGGCATATTCCAAACAGTGGAACTGCAGGCGTGACTTGCGCCTTTGGTAATCCAGTGCAAGACATCTTTCAGAAAAAGGAGTACTGTCCCATCATCGCGGGCATGAGCCCCTGGTATTGGGCAGTCGGTTGGTACAGCTTTTTCCTCTTGACAGTAGGAATCTGCCACGTATGTGGGCGGCGAATCCCGATCCAAGTCGTTCCTGGCGTTCCCAATGCCATTTACGCAAGCCCCATATGCCGCTTCTTGGATGTGCAACGTGCTGGCTATGATGACAACCACCTGCTTGGCTTCTTTCTTCTTATTTCCACTTGCTTTGTGCACTCCATGATGGTACGGTTCATCGCCACGCCCGAGGGGAAGGATTGGGGGCATGCTTGCCTGCGCTACGGAAACTGGCAGGGTTCTTACGAGGACTACTGCCAGCCAGGCCCGCTGATGGAGCCGAGTTGGACAGTGTTCCTGGCTGCTAGGTCCACGTTCGGAAGACATGTTCATAATTTTGACATGCTGCAGGGCCCGAGCAATCCTTTGTCACAGGTCCTTACAAAAGTGTTGCAAGCACTGATTTGAAGCAGCCGCGCTCACTTGAACAAAGATTGTGATTCATGTGAAAGCATCTATTCTCTGACGGGTGTGGTGCCAGAACCGATAAAACCTTTCAGGATAAACTCCCAGACAGTTTCCCACCGTCTGTTCACATACGGTTGGTTACCTGGCTATGCGCTGTAGTCTGCAGGCTTCCGTATTCTGATCCGGTGCGTAGCCTTAACCTCGGCATGCTAGCCCAACGTCTCGGCATTTGTTTAGGGCTGCCTGAGCCCCGTGTGTTGCACCTGTCCTGGTGAGTGGTGCCTGCAACACGACCCAGTTAGCTAGGTGGGAGGCGGAAGATTTTTCCAGATTCAGCCACCACAGGCAGAGATCCTGATTCCTACTCAAATGGTCCAGGGACACTTTAAGTAGGGTCATGCTGTTTTCTGGTTCCGCATTAGTATAAATGTTAGCAAAGTTGTGCAATCAATTTAGTCTAAGCAGTCTCATTGTCAGCGTGTGCGTGCTGTTTTTTGAAAATGCTGTATCTACTTGCTAAGACCATCATTACTCAGCACCTGCGACTACTACACTTACTGCTATTGAACTGCTGCTGGTAAAGTCCACCAACCAAGCCCCAGCTGAGGTTTTGGTGTCGGTGTGTGCCATGTTTGCCCTTTGGGACCAGGGCACCGTTGTCGAAGGCTCAGAAGATCGGAAAGACGAGTCGGGCTATGCAGAGGCGGGAAATATTGCTGTAATGGCTGTTGTTATTCTTCTTTTTCGTTTAGTATGTTCTTAGTAGTTGTACCAAACAGTGCAGTAGCACTATATGAATGCTTACATTCAGAGTAAGCGGATTCGGTTTTTGTGCACACGAGGCACCCCCGTGGTTCCGCTGCTCCCACTTTGTCAATGTTCGACTAAATCGCGCTTTTTCCCCAGTCACACGCGGTCGTGTTTGTTGGCGAGTTCGAGTTGATTCCAGTGACGTGCAAACTTTGAGGTGTTTTGGCTCCTTGGTTTCGTCATCACGGATGCTCCCGCCATATTCTCGCATCGTCTTTCCGCCACAGTCTCGCGCATTCCGCCTGCATCAAGCCTCTTCCAGTGACGGTCCTGTGCCTTTGCTCCTCCGGAAGTCCTGCTCCCGCCACCGTCGTGCGTGTTCTGAGGTGCCGGTCGTGATCAGGAACGGTTATTGGGTATGAGGGCTTGGGCTTTTTCACTGTTTAGGGTTCAGGGTTTACACTGTCCTAACCGTAGTAGTAGCTAGTAGTGTTGTTAGGCTACTCCTTTGAGTCGGGCATGGGGTGTCAAGGGAGCCGCGGCCCCAGCTTCGAACTGCATCATGCTGTCGTGCACTAGTTTGGGTCTGCATCGGTTATATTATGGGTAACGTTTATTTCAAACAGCCCCTTGCAGTTGTCATCGTAAATCTCGTACAGCACGGGTCTTTTACCAAGCGCTTTGGCTACACCATGTTGTTCAAGTGATCAAAGTCGCTCCCAGTCCGTGTTTATGGGATGTCACGACATTCTGATGGCCAGTTAAACACTGAAATTTAGTGACTGGCTGCTTGGGTGTGTTGGTTGATGATGAAAAATTGATATCCTTCGGTGACTCACATGCCAGGAAGTCACAATCGATCGACTGGACGCAGCAGCCGTAAACTTGAAGGCAATTATCCGCTTCCAAATGTCTGAGACAGAGACTTTGATCAGTTTACCGTTATGTTTGTGGGGTTTTCAACGCTTGCAATTCTCAGGTTTCGAACATTCTGGTTGCATTCATGTCTTTCGATTCTGTTTGATACCCAATCACCTAGTAGGAGACTCAAGCCACCCCAGCTCTCTTGCCCCATTCTACAGATCACACGTGCAACCCAAATTGCCGAGACTAGGCTCCTCCACATTTCACACCTGCCCAAGACCCCCATGAGCTCTGATGGGTATACGTGGGGCTGCTGCCCCGAGGGACTAGTACATACATATTGGTGACAGCAGCAGTAAGAACACCATGCAAAGCTCAAGAGTAATCATAGCAACCATCATTTGGCCGAAAAGTTGAAAAATTGCTGACCTCGAGAGCTCAGGAGCGGCTGCTGGAGGAGGAGCCCACGCGGCTCGCTATGTTCATTGGCTGGAACAAGCTGCAGGCTGAATCCGCGAAACGCGGGTCCTTGTCACAGCCTGCTCAGCATGTATGGGTTGCAAAAGAGGTGCGAGTACTCAGGCACCTAGGGAGATTTAAATCCCGGTGAAGATTTATTGTGATCATACCCAGGATCAACGCCGATCCAAGCATTCTTGAAACAGACATCCCAACAAGAGGCCACTTTTCACGAGAACAGTTCACCAGGAGGCTGCGCGCACATGCAAGCATTGCACATGTCATAGCTTTCCCGAGCCCAGCAGTTCAATTCGACTCCGCAAAAGAACTGAATATCCGATGATCGCCTTGAAGATGCAACGTGCATGATAAGTTGCAGAGCTTGAAGTTCAAGCTACAAAGCCAGGGCTGTGCTGTGAGAGGCGTGGCTGGCCGGCAAGGAGCCGCCCAAGAAAGCTGTCAGGCGGAGACTGGGCTGCTGGAGTGTGAGGGGGCACATTGCATGGGGGCCTAGGCATGCGAAGCCCGCCTTTAGGGTCGAAAGTCCATCGAGAGGGCATTGCACGGGAGCTTTCTGACGCAACCCGTGTTGTTGTTGGGTCTTCTTGGCGTTGGCAAGTTGCACGGTCAGCCACCATAATCTTGTAACATGCTGGACGTGAAGGATTCGGCCCGCAACTCAGTCACACGGCTGAAGTGCAATGACATTGTCGAACATGGAACCTCGCCTGGCTTGTCCGAGTTGTGAGAGTGTAATGACATCGTGTCTCTGGTTTCGTACCTACTGTATGCTGCGATTGTTCACTTCGTCTCACGCCTTGCTGTTGCATCGTCAGCGAATCTCAACACATTGCCTTTTCGTTGCGACCGAACACCCTCTGCCTTGCTTCTGAATCTCCAAGGACCACCTTTCTCACAGTGAACTTCTTTTCCAAATCCCGCGACGACATGCCAGACAAGGTGGACTCCGATGCCGAAGGTGTTGGAGGCGAGCCAGACTTTACTGTCCGGTTCTACTGCAAGAAGGCTGGCAAGTGTACTAGAAGCTTCTTGGCTGAATAGTACCACGGACACGCTTCATTGGGACCTGTATATCAAAGTGATGCAAGCCGCGGTGTGAGAATGCATCCATATCCTGAGGCCGCAACGTTCCATGGAGTGCACGGCTCTTGCAGTTGACAAACTTACCATCATCCTAAGCGGTGTTCTTTCGCATAATGCTCTATATTTGGCACATGTTGGTCACTACTACGTAGTCACCCAGGAATCTTTAACCTTAAGATGCCGTCACCGCTCGATATGTTTGTTGCTCGAAACGGAGCTGCGCTTACTGAGCTCATGCCACCCCGTTCGGTTCAAGTCGAACCGGTCCCAGCGCGGGAGTCCAAAGTAGTGTTGACCCCTGCAGGTTTTCATGATGCTTTGCTGGAGGTCTTCAGGATTGCTGGCTCTGTGGATGTTTTGCCAGATGCCTTGCAGATGGCCAGGGAGGATCTGGAGGTACAGATACTAGGCCAGGTCCGAAGACTCGCACTGTGAACAATACTTGTAGAAGCGATCATAGAAACGGCGGCGTCTTCCCACTCGGCATTGCCAGAGGGCTGGCAGGCAGTTGGCTCCACCATTTCGTTAATTCCTTTGCAACCCCAGTTGCCTTTGAGGTGCTGGCACGGAGGACGAGAAGGCTCAGGTCCTGCAGAGCTTTTTCAGACGGCGTTTGATGCTCCAAGAGAGCACAACGGGAAAGGTTCGCATCAAGGAGCTTTACAGCTTCTGTGATGACACGATGCGGATTCTAGGGAACACTGTTGAGACAAGTTCAGACGGTGCCAGCCGAAGTAGCAAAGCGCGCCTCAGCTGTTTGCCAAAAAAATCTTCGGACGGCCTGGGCATCATCGACCGCTTTCTCGATCGGTGGCACCTCCAGGACGTGGTTGGACGACGCACAGATGCATCTTGGCCGATATGATAATATTGATCCAGATCTTTTTCCCGGGAGTTTGAGGCTTTCACTCCAAAACACTTGTGTCCCCGGAGAGGCGCAGTTCAAAAACCGCTCAGGCGTACAATGCCGCAGGCTATCTGTTCACTGCCATTGGTTGTACTATCGCTTCCATTATCTCCCCACAAGCGGATGCCTGGGCGATCGTATATTGGTTGGCAAACAAAGACTCGCTTGTGGAAGCTCGTTGTGAACAGACATTTTCTGATGGCTTTGCAAGCCCCTGGTGCAGCACTTCGGCAAGTGTCAGCATGCAGCGACGCACGTTCCGCCCGGAAATGGCATTCTTCACAACCAACCGCAACGCCTGGTTGGCTTTTGGGTTTCAGCAAGGAATATTTTCTGTTGCAACGTTTGCTTCAACTTCACATGGGGCACATGGCCAAAAACTCATCCGAGGTTTTTCTCTGCTTCCTTTGCAAATTGGGCATCTTCGGATGTCTGGGCTACTACTTTGCCGAAACTGTGAGGAAGACCATTCGGGGGCTGATGCAAGCCGCACATCCAATGGTCATCTTGGGCTCAATTATAGATAGACCTCATCCCTCAAGCCTGTGTCATTTCATGTCGGCCACTGCCACGAACCCCAAGTTATAACTCGGATTGAATGACCCGCCCAGGTCATCTTGAACTCAATTCTTCTCCATTGGGCCCAGCTTCGATCCTTGAACACATCCCAACTGCATGTCTGGAAGCGAGTTCGAGATTCTATTTTGTTCAACGACGTGAAGTTCATCCTGGACCGCTTTGAGAACATTGTGATCGCGTACCTGGGAGTGGCCTTCTGGTTTATTTCCGACTCAACCTATCAAATCGTCCTGAGGAACGAGGCACCCACCTTCTTGGCATTTTATGTTATTATCGTCTTCATGGCGGCCACAGCTATATGTTTGGGTGCAGCCCTTTCCTGCCATCTTGCGCAGGAGGACTTGCCTTTCTAAGGGAAACAAGCAAGAGAGAGAAGCATCAGCCCCGCAAAAGACCGCAGGAAAGGTGCCTGTCACCGGGACCACTATGCATTGTAAATGGCGAGTGTACTGCTTTGCATTCCATGGGTTACCATAAGTATGCCTGGAAGAAGCCTGCAGGAGCACACGAGGTCGCTTACCAGACTCAAGGAGGCATCGATGCTTCGGACGGGAAAGCACGTGGAACACCAACGTGCCCTGCTGGACATGATCATCCAGCGCCTCGATTCTGGGGGTGACTAGGCGGTATTGAAAGCATGTTTTCAATCTTGTCTCGTAGAAACCTTAGAGATAAATGCATGATAATGCTTGAAAGGACTCAAGAAAGATAAGGCGACTACCAAACGAGAATGCTCTACATGCCATTGAACCCCAAGCTTCAGAAAGTTCTACTGGGCTATGTGGTTGTGTCCGCAGCTTCCGTTGTCGGCCGCCTTGTGTCCAATGAGCTTCCTGCCTAGTGGCAAGGCGAGTCTGGAATCAGATCGTAATGACAATCTGGTCAATTAGTCGATGACAAACATGGCAGACTAGTAGTTGTCCACGCTTGTGCACTGCTGATGAACTAGTTCCAGACGGCCTTGCATTCCTGTGCCAGTGATCGGGGCAGTGTTTCATCTGTTGAGGTCATTGGTGCTATCAGGGTTATCTCTTTCGCTGGGAACTTTCTTGTAGCACAGCTTGCAATCTGAGGCGAGTGTGACTCATTATTACCGTGGAATTGTCATTCCATAAGTCTTACATGCTTGTTTCTAATGGATAAGGTGTGCCTCCAGTGATTGCTCAGCATACGCGCCTTGCTTTAAATTGTAATGCCTGACTTGCATGGCTCCCATGACGGCTGTGCACTGATTGATACCTTCCATATTATTGTTGCTATCAATATTTGTCTGTGTTATTTGTTTGGTGGTTGTTTTACATTGCACAACTGTCAGCTGGAGCCCGGGTTAACAAACCCAATCGGCAATTTCTGACTGCTGCTACTCCTACTGCTACTGCTACTGCTACTGCTACTACTAACTACTACTACTACTACTACTACTACTACTACTACTACTACTACTACTACGACTACGACTACGACGACTACTACCACTACTACTACTACTACTACTGCTGCTGCTGCTGCTGCTACTACTACTACTACTACTACTTCTTCCCGACGCAGCAAGAGGAACTCGCTCTGCGAATGCGGAATTGTGACAGGGTC